ACTTCAAAGCATGAATCCTCGAAGTGATCGCTGCAAACGTAGCAGTTCTTCAAAGGCGGCAGGTTCTCTCTCTTTATCCGCGCTATCCATGCCTTCTGAAGAGCTATTTTGTTAGGAATTTTGTGGTAGCTAACAGACTCAGTTTTGGAAGAATGGTTGGTGCATTCTGGCACACAACAATGAACCATCTGGATTAAGAAACTTACTCTAACTTAGACTATTAAAAGATCGACTAGCACTCGAAATATACAAACTCAACAAGTTTGGAATGCAAGCTTCACGTTGTGACGTCACGGCATTAATGCGGTAATTTATTGCGGGCTCAAATATGGCGCTCTTCTATTGGTATTTTTCGCGAATTGATTATTTCTTTTCGGCGACATAGAAGCTGTATCAGAGTTCAAAGTTGAATTTATGTGATCTATGTACGTTGTAGTTTTATATGAAAAACGGCAATTTTTGGGGTCAGTTGTCCTTTAATGACTATTTGTTTGTTCGTTGTTTTTTTTTCTTTCTTGTATTATGTTTTACCAAATATTAACTGTTTAAAATATTGTTTCATATCTAGTCGTTTTGCCACTTTTTTATATGTATTGAATAGTTCATTTATACAATTCTTCTTGTTAATAATTATTATTCAAGCCATTATGAGATAACATTTATGTAAAACTTGCAAAAACTGGGTGTTAAAAAAATTGAAAAATGGAGCTGTTCTGTTAATGATTAACAACACTGTGTATACTTTGCTAGTCTTTCTTATTTCACAACTTACCCATTAGTTTTAGTGTCCCCAATTACCAGCCACCAGCCCTCCTCTCGTTTTTGAGGGAAAAACGGTGCAATGACTGGGCCAGCTTGATCGTCTTCACGTTCTAATTCAACAAGTAAATTGACAGGACGACCCCTGTAGACAAGCATAATAAACTTAATATGTAACCATCAATAAATATTTAAATTTCTCTATTACTAATAATTGATATCTTCATATGTGAATAAAGACCAACCAATTGTATTAAATCGATAATTTTACATTCAACGGAAAATTACATGGACGCGCGGAGAAACCGCGGATTTGATCGTCGAGTGTTGATATCAGTACGAGTGASTACATCGACTGCCTACTTCTTGGACGTTTGATTTGAGCCCACAATATGCTCGCGCCAAAACTGCTGAATAACGTTCAAAATGTTATTGAACCATAAATGTTTTGAATTTCAAGATGGGAAAACCCTGTAGAAGGCACAAATGTAAAAACTGGACCCAAATGTAATAAAGGTCACAAATGTAATGAACTTTGGTCACAAATGTAATAAAAAAAATTTTTGTATCAGTCTCAAGGCCAAAACTAATAGTGCTTTTAATTGTTGTAAACTCAAAATCCATTGTATAACTGTACACCGTGTATGCAAATTTTCCACATTTTTTTTCTGATATTGTTTCTACAATTTCCAAATTCATTTAATTTTTAAAACGATTCACAACATTAAACCTAAAACAAGCTTTATTAAACTCGATCAACTTTTACATTAGACAATCAGATAAATAGGTATGAAATAGAGTTTACGACATCAGTATATCGTTTTCATGTTTTTCATGCATGTCAATTGATTTTGTGACATAATTGACTGACTTTTTTCTTATAAGCTTACACGAAAACCGTTAGCTCATTTCAGGGAGGTGTCCGCACTTACAGCACACCACCCTAGATCCGCTCTTGCTTCCATCAAGTTTGCAACTGAAACAGTTCTTCAGTACCAAACTCTTTAATACTTCGGCAGTTGACATTTAGACGCCGAATTTTAACAAACAAACGAAAGATCGAACAAACGAATGAATGAATAATGTGGAATGTGATGTTTTAAGGGGAAAATTATTTTCAGACTACTGGCATTAAACCATGGTTTTGTGTTGCAGTTGTTTGGAAAAAAATCTTTTGAAAAAATAGTGATAACTTGTGATCGTCCCTAAACTGAACTAATGATCGACAACCATTGAGACATGAAATGAAAGAAAACACAAAAACATGAAAATGAAAAGCGAAAAAAGAAATAGAAATACATTATTCGACATTAATTCCATTTTATTATCAATAACAGCGTAACTTTATGAATAGAATTAGCATGTTTTTAAGTTATTTATGATCAATTTATTTTCGATAATGCAGGCCACTTTCGGATCATGTGAGTATTAATTAAAGTCAGCTG